CTGGGGGTGGTGACCATCCACCTTGGGGAGGGAGGAAGGAGGTTAACACTCCCCCCAAAAGTGTGATGTACTGGGATGAAGAACCACACCCACCTGCCTCCCCGCACCCTTGGTCCAGGCAGTGCTGCCCATGGGCTTTCTTTCCCCCACACACAAGTCTGCAACTCAGTCTCCGATTGGAACGAGAAAAAAGGCTGAGATCCTCTAGCCCGTCAGCCAAGGGGCAAGCAGGGTTCCTGTCTAAGCTCCCTCAGAGGGGTGTCACTGGGAGTTCATAAATGAGTGCTCAGAATAGTGCCTGCCCGTAAGCAGGCTGCTGTGGACAGTTGAGCAGGTCAGGCACTGAACAAATCCAGGGAGCACCATTCAAACCAGGGATGTCACAGATTTGTGCATTTCGACATTTACCTGGAGAGGGTCTGGAAGAAGGGGTGCTTCTTGTTGGATTCACAGAAAGGCACTGGGGAGCTGAGGCAGCCCCAGACAGAGTAAGTGCTAAGTGAATATGTTATTAAAAACCACCCAACTACTATGGGCTGGGACTTCAGCAACCACCCTGTGAGGTCAGGACTGTTGCCATCTGTTCCTGAATCCCAAATAAAGGAACTCCTGCAGGGGTTCAAATGTTTGCTTTAAGTTGTTCAGTGACTCAGGGGTTCACATACCCTAAGTCTGGACCCCAGATACTGATCTGATCAGAGAAGTTCTATTTGCTGTCATCCTGGCAGGAGACGGGTTCCCAGGTATGTCTCTGCCCCAGCCCGAGACCCTCTCCAGGTCACCCTCACGCCCTGCTCACCCGGGCCCCTCGGTGACCCGAGGATTTCCTGTGATGCCACGGACTCTGGGGCTCGTCCGCCAGCACGGGCTCTGAGGACCGGGCCAGGGCTGGCGCTGGGGGCCCCTCGTCCACGTCTGTGTGGGGCCCGCCTTCGCCGTCTGTGTAGCCATCGCCGTCGGTGTAGACGCCGCCCTCGCCGTCTGTCTCGTAGTCGCTGTTGACCCGGCTGTCACAACTCAGATCTGCAGAGCTGTCGGCCAGGCCGTGGTGAGGGAGGTCCAGCGTGTCCTCCGAGGGGCCGTCCACCTGTGGGGTGGGTGTGACTTGGCTGAGCCAATGCCCTGCAGTCCAGGCCCATCCTGATCTCAGAACAAGCCGAGGCCTGGGAAACTGCAACCTCAAACCAGGTTAAGGACCCTTGAGCTTCATCCTCAAGTTGACCCTGACCCTCAAGCCTCAAGTTAAGTCTCCGCCCTGGGTATGAGGATGAGTTCTGACCACTGACGCTTGCTTGACTCAAGGCTGAGCCCCCAACCCCAAAACCTACCCACAGCACCAAGAGAAGACCCCGATGACCAAGGCCCCATCCCATCCCACCCCGTGGACCAGGTCAGGAGTATAACCTCAGGTCACATCTTTCTTGACCTTGACCAAGCCCCTGACCCTTGACCTAGCCCTCACTCCAAACAGCGGCCCCAAACTGTGGCCTGGGTACCTGGTCCTCAGCCGTCCAGATGGGCTGTGTCTGCTGCTCACAGATAACGGCCTTGAGCTCCTGGTACCAGGCGTCACTCATGCCGCACAGGGGGATGCTGGCTGCGGGGAGTGGGCGTCAGCACAGCTGAGAATCGCTGCCTGCCCGGGACCCCCATCCTGCCCTACCTGTGAAGAGGTGGTCGCTGTGCTTCTGCAGCTTCTGGGCTTGGGTGTAGAGGCGGCGAGTGCTACGGCGGGAGGCTGGTGCCAGCCACTGGCGCAGTGCCTTGAGGGCTGTCCGGCTTTCGGGGGCAAAGAAGACCACGATGGGGTAGTACTGCACGTAGTTGAGGCGCTCAATTGCCGAGGGTGTC